GGGCTGGAGAGATGGCTCAGTGGTTAAGAGCATTGCCTGCTCTTCCAAAGGTCCTGAGTTCAATTCCCGGCAACCACATGGTGGCTCACAACCATCTGTAATGAGGTCTGGTGCCCTCTTCTGGCCTGCAGACATACCCACAGACAGAATATTGTATACATAACAAATAAATAAATATTTTTAAAAAAAACTGCTTAAAAAGAGGACCCAAAACCAAACACACAGCAGCCAATGAAAGCTGGGCATGGTTAAGTATGCCTGTAATGCCAGCACTGGGGGTGGGCGAGGACGGGCAGATCCTGGGAGCTTAAACAGCCTTGGCAAAATGGCAAACTCCAGGTTCAGTGAGAGACCCTGCCTGTAGGTGTCGGGAGAAACGGCTCAGCAGTGAAGCCAGCAGCACCTATTTCGGGTGCGTGTAACAGTGCATGTAACTCCATCTGATGTCAGGATCCAAGTCCTCCTCTACTCTCCATGAATACACATGTGCACACACAGGTGCATGTACCCACTCACAAGGACACACACACATAAATAAAACCTCTAAAAAAATAGGTAGTCAGTCAGTCACAGAGAAGACACCTGAGAGTCTTTCTGGTCTCCACATATACATGTATGAAATATAAACCAGTGTGCATCATACACGCGCGCGCGCACACACACACACACTTACAACAAATCACCAAAAAATTACAACCCAGGACCTAGGGCAAAGTTTAAAGTTGAGGAGCATATGGGGCAGGATGAGCAAACCTAGTTCCAACCCTACTTTATTCAAAAATAAAGCCTGCTATATTTGCATTTCTTTCAGAAGATCAACATATATTAGCCACTTGTGAAATCAGAATAAAAGAAACTTGCCGGGCGTTGGTGGCGCACGCCTTTAATCCCAGCAGTCAGGAGACAGAGGCAGGTTGATCTCTGTGAGTTCGAGACCTGCCTGTTCTACAAAAGCTAGTTCCAGGACAGGCTCCAAAGCTACAAAGAAACCCTGGCTCGAAAAACTAAACCAAACCAAAAAACAGAATAGGAAAACACTCTAGCTCCTATTATCTGTATCATTCAGGAGGCGGAGGCAGCCTGCTTCATTTACAAGTTCCCATCTCAGCCCAGGACTTCCAGGAATTCATGTTCTATTCTCTGGAGTAAAACTAAATTGATAGGGGCTTGGCAGAGCCTCCTCCCTCTTACCTGGTTTCCTCTTGAGGAGGTGCTGAGCCTCAATGGCAGTGATCTGGGACACGGTGGTGAAGACGTGAGCGCAGTGGGCAGCGGCTCGCTCCATGCAGTAGCGATGGTAGATCTGCCTCTCGCCTGCTTCCTTGTCCACATTGAACTGGGCAGGAAGGGAGGGGGATCAGGGTCCGGAGGACTGGGCTAAGACTCAGGTCTGGACTGCAGCCCTGAGGGAGGTTGGGACTGGCAGCTGGACTCTGAGAACAGGATCTGGGCTGCTCTCGTGGGTGTGAGGAAGAGGTTCAGGGTCTGTCCCCGTGTCTAACGGTAGAAGGGTGGGGAGCCTGGACTCTTAGGAGCATGATTCTCTGCCAGGGCTTTGGGCTGTCATGCAATGTTTGTGTCTCCCATGCTTCCAGCTCACGTTCTCCAGGTTGTTGTAGAAGTCCACGGCCCCAGCACACAGATAGCGCCCCAGCAGCGTGGCATGGGTGGTGAAGATGGTTGCCACTGGCAAGCGCCGGGCACGGCACAGACACAGACCAATGCCTGCCAACCACTCGTGGAAGTGGGCAACCACATATGGCTTCTCTTCGTTCTGCGCCAGGAACTGTGGAGCAACGGGGACAGGGTCACTGTGTTTCCACATGTCACAGAAGGAACCCCCAGCATGCATGAGGAAGCAAGGGACGGGAGACCACTGACGTGAAAACAGCAGGCAGCATTCACACAGACAAGGCCCTGAACCAGCTGACCTGGGTCCCAGAAGCTGATGGGAACTTGTTTGTTTGCCAGTGTCTAAATCCTGGCAAGGCTGAAATGCAAGCACTAACATGCCCATGTCCCTCAGTCCCGCTCTCAATTCCACACTTGGTTTCGCACTCAATGGCAGTAGACGTTTTATGGGTAAAAACAGGATCAAACTTTCAGAATCCCTTGAATCAAGGCGTCCTGTTTGTCCTAGAGCATTACAGTCAAGTTTCCCCTAGGATGGGGGGGAGGGAGCAGCCCAGATTCTGGGCCCTGAAACCAACTCTCGATCTGTAAGCATCAAGAGTCCCCTCCAAGCTTAGATATAGTCAGCATCAACAGGAGAGCAACTCCCAGAGTTCCTGTGACCCATCCCCTACTGACACACCCTCCCGGAGGCCTCAGTGTGTCTACACTGCAGACTGGAGTAAAGAGGGCCAGGCTGGCACTTCTGAGAAAACAAGCTGCACCCCTGGGCATTCGTACACCCCCAAATCAGAGTCCATCCTTGCATTAAAGAACCCACAATTTCAAGAATACCCGGGGGAAGCCCACCCTCTGGCCCAGGAAGGGATGGTGATTGGGTTTCCAGAGGATGAGGTGGGGGTCTGTAGGAGGGCCTACCTCACCCAGGAACCAGGTGGTGAGGAAGCCAAACAGGACAGCGTCATTGGCCTCACGGTCGTACCAGGGTACCCCGATGTTGCAGGTGTCCCAAAGCTCACCCTTCCAGCGCTCCAGGGCCCAGGCTGAGGCCCCCACATCCAGGAGCACCACTAGGGGTCCCCCCTCTATCAGCCAACGTCCAAAATACACCTAGGAGAGAGGCAGAGGGAGGCTCAGACAGCTGGTCTGTGCTTCACCCCACTGCCTTATTCCGGAACCTGGGAACTGAGCTCAGCCAGCTCACTGTCCTCACCCACTGCCCCGCTCGCTCGTGCCCCTACCTAACTGCCGCCTGCTAGGTTTCTCCTCTGCCATGGCCTGTTTTGTAATCTGTAATCACACGCCTAACAACCAGGACCACACTTTCCTACCCACGGTCACTTCCCTAAAACTCCACGTCCCTCCGTCCCAATCTGGCTTGGTCCTGCCAGAGACTCACTGGGGTACCCCTCCCCCTCCCAGCTGTTGTCTGCCCTTTCGCTGGGAGGGGTCTATTATTAGGAACCGTTGCCCCACGGGAGTGACATGCCTGCTCTGGGGTCCCATAGGGACATGATCTGGCCCGGCTGGATGCTGGAGCCCACCCCAAACACAGGTTGTGATAATGGAGCCCTGATCCTGTCTGTCTGTCTTCCAAGCCCTAGTCTGTGCCTTCTGCCTGCCTCTCATGGCCTCTCCCCAGAAGCCAGACACATCACCACTTCCTCTCTCTCTCTTTCTCTCTCTCTCTTTCTCTCTCTCTAAGTCAGGGTTTCTCATGTCCTGACCTTAAACTCAGAGATCCACCTGCCTCTGCCTTCTGAGTGCTTGGACTGACTGACATCTCTCAAGACTGAACATGGGGCAGGCAGGGCTCTACCACTGAGCCACAACCCAGCCCCTCATTGGGGGATTCTAGGCAGAGGAATCTACACTGAGCCACACCCTTTTCCTCCTCTCTTTAGTTCCTGGACCTGCTCATCTCAGACTCTATCCCTCTTTCCCGTCTCTCCTTTCTCCAACAACACTCCATCTTTTTGCCTGCCTGGCTACTGTTCTTTACTTTCTTCATTAATTTTTTTTACATATTTATTTATTTATTATGTATACAATATTCTGTCTGTGTGTATGCCTGCAGGCCAGAAGAGGGCACCAAACCCCATTACAGATGGCTGTGAGCCACCATGTGGTTGCTGGGAATTGAACTCAGGACCTTTGGAAGAGCAGGCAATGCTCTTAACCTCTGAGCCAGCTCTCCAGCCCTTTCTTCATTAATTTTGAGAGAGTGTCTTGTCGTGGTCCAGAGTGCTGGGATTACAGGTGTGCACACAGCACCTGGCTCTGACTGTCTTTCTGTCCAGTTCCAGCTTGTTTTTACCCTGTAGGTCCGGGGAGCTCAGCTTAGATCCATCTCCATCCATCTACCCAGTACCACTGGCCTTCCTTACCAGACCCTATACCTGTCTGTCCCTTTCTTCCCTAGGTCTGCTGGGCCCATGCCTCCTGTAGCCCCTGCTGGCAGGCCATGTTCCCACCCGCCTGGGTAGAGCTGTGTCCCACCTTACAGCCCTTGCTGTTCATGGAATCCAGGGTCCTCTTCAGCTCAGGAGTCGAGGGCTCCAGCAGCTCCACCTGAGTCCTCACGCCCTGCTCCGTGTACGGTCCCACCAGGTAGTAGTTGTCACCCCACTCATCCCCAGTCACCTTCGCCTTCGTCTGCAGCACAGTGTAGATGCCACCCACTGTGGGCCAGAGTGCAAAAGGACAGACAACCCTACCATTGGTCCACAGCTCTGATGGGGCAGAAGACAGGCGGGAGCCCACACTTGGGAAGCAGAGGAGGTGGGGGCTGGGGTCATGGAAAGCCCAGAGGGCAGCCTCTTGTGAGGTGAGGGGGAGGAGCAGGGTTAGGCTCCTGGTTGCCTGAGGGTTTTAGGAGCTAGGGAACAAGGATTGGGGACCCAGGTTCTAATGCTCCCAACTTTCGGGTGCATTCAGCTTCCCACAGTTACCTAAAGGAAGCCGGAATTCATAATCCTCACCTCCAGGGACCCTGACTATGACTCTCAGGGAAGGGGCACAGGCACACTGGGCCCTGCTCCTCCTGTGACCCCACCTCAGATTGAGGAATCTAGGTCCTCAGTTTCTTGCCCTGGGACCAGTACCCTGGCAGGACACAGCTTTGTCTGCTAACTCCCACCATGCTGGGAAAGACAGTCTTTTTCTCCCCCAGGATGGAGAGAACGAAACACTCAGATCCACGCAGCCCAGCCTCCTCACGAGCAAGAAGCTAGTGGTCTAGACTATCCCACACACAACTGCGGGCTGTGGGTTCCTCCCCTTCCAGTGTGCAAGTGAGGGGCCTCAGGGAGACACCTCTCCACTTAGGAAGCCATGGCTTAGGCCCTGGGCTCCTTCACAGCTGGGTATTCAAGTTCCCAGCTCTTTCCCACCTTGGATCTAAGAATTCGAGTGTCTAGGCTCCCCTCGTCTTTACACTAAAGTGGTCAGGTCCACCATGCTCTCTGAACTATCCACGAATCCTAACTTTTCGGAGCAAATTCTAGTTCACAGTCACATCCTCTGGACCACAGACGCGAAAGCTCCGTGCTCCCCAGGGTTTTAGATCTGAGGTCTCTCGGCCCTCGAAAACCTCCCTCCAAGACCCGGGAATCTCTCTCTGAGTGCCCTCTCCCCTACATCGCAGGACCTGAAGCCTCCTTCCATCTTGAGAGTAGCCTCTGGTCCCTTCCCCCCAGGGCCTAGGACGCCTACTCCTGGCCCACCTCAAGGACACAGAAGTCACAGGCGCTTTTCACAGGACCCAAGTGTTCACCCACGAAGCTCTGTGCCCGTATGAACAGGGTTTAGGGCCCCCATCCTCGACTGCCCTCCTCGGTCAAGGGACCGAGGCTGGCGTTCTCACCCTTGTTGGCCACCTCCCAGGCCACCTCGAAAAGCACTGTGTTCTCCGGGTCGAACTCATCCTCCCAATCTTCCAGTCCTGGAAGTGAGGACATGGAGAGACTGCGGCTGAGAGGCATGGCTGCTACAAGCAGGGGACTTCGAGCACCAAAAATGAAAACCGGAGAGGTCGGCTGGGAATGCACCAGACTTGGTGACCGGCCGGGTTAGCGGGTGTCCCACGGGAAGCTTGCAAAGCACTCCGCTTCCTATTACACGACCGCACCCCCGCCCCAGAGCGCTCCGACTCAGGTAGGCAGCACGGCGACACTGAGTCGGGCGAGCAGCTGCAGTGATGCCTTGTGACCGCCAGGAGGCACTGCCCACACTGCTGGTCTAGCAGGATTGGTCCGCGTCTTGGGGACGGGACTGCGGCGTCTTCTTATTGGAGGATGGGATCCAGTTTCTCTAGCCAGACCCTCCCGGGGTCCTACAGGGGGCGGGGCTTGTTGCTGGGCAGCATGGAAGTAATTGGTGAATAGAACTGTCTGTCTCTGCTGCGGCCCCAATTTGGGGAGGAAGGGTGGACAGAGGGGAAAACGATCGTGGAGGACGTGTGGTTGCTACAAAAAGTGTTCAGGATTTTGCAATCGGACTTAGCGGTTGGGGGTGGGGGTGGGTGGGTAAAAGGAGGAGGAGCAGGAGACGTCAAGAACCCGCCCAAGATTCAGACACCCGCCTTCCAATTTAGCCTCTGGGATGGGCGCGGCCAGGAGAGTTTTACATATTTTATGAACCATAGAGAGGGCTGGATGACCGGGGAGCCTAGAGAGAACAAAGGCCGCTCCTGGCCGGTTTCCGTTTCCGCTGAGGCATTGGCGGTTGGTGTGCATCATGGCAACTGTGGTAAGTGTTGGGTGCTTGTGGAGAACTGAGAAAAATCCTCCTTGTGGAGTCTGAGGAGGCGGTCTGATGGAAGAGTGCTAAGGAAGATGCCCGGTTTGGGGGGAGGACTCATGAGTCTGAGGGAGGATGCTGAGGAGGATCCTGGGTCTGAGCAAGAGATAAAGAGGAGGATGCCTGTGTGCATGAAGGAAGAGGGGCTGAGGAAGTCGCCTGGGTCTCAAGGAGGCTTGGGAGGGCACGTGGGTCTAAGGGAAGCATTGGGAAGAATGTAGCAAGGTCTGAGGAAGGAGTGCTGGTGTGTGCACCTTTCTGTGTGCGCTAGGAGGGCTGGAGCCTAAATGCCTGGGCCTGAGGGAGGACTGTGAAGCCCGGTCTAGGGGAGGCGGGACCGGTGAGGATGCCTGGAAGAGGGCTGACCTAGGTCTGAAAGAAGAGCCTGGTGTCTTGACCTCTGCGGAAGGAGAAAGCTAATCGTCGTGGCCTTAGAATATGATGTCTAAGAACTAGGTCGTGTCAGGCTGTGGTGGCGCACGCCTCTAATCCCAGCACTCGGGAGGCAGAGGCTGGCAGATCTCTGTGAGTTCCAGAATAGCCATGGCTGTGCAGAGAAATCCGGTCTCGAAAAACAAGAACAAAAAAGAATCCTAGGTCTAGTAGGAGACAGTGTGGCACACACCTTTAGATTAAGCACTTGGGAGGCAGAGGCATGCAGATCTCTGGGTTCGAGGCCAGCCTGGTCATCTACAGAGCAAGTTTTTGGCTATCCAGAAATACACAGAGAAACCCTGTCCGGATAACCTCCCACCCAAAACAAACAAACAAACAAACAAAAAAAAACGAATACTAAGTGTGATGGAAGAATCATGGGGATACTCAGATTTTTTTTACATACACACAAAGGTTATACTGTTTAGCTCTGGCTGTCCTGGAACTCACTTTGTAGACCAGGCTGGCCTGGAACGCACAAAGATCCACCGGCCTCTGCCTCCCGAGTGTTGGACTTAAAGGTGTGCACCACCACTGCCTGGCAGGATGCTCAGATGTCTAAGTAAATAAGTAAACAAGAGCCTGGGCCGGCAGGACCTTGACTTCACCTTCCTCCTGGTAGAGTCAGTGCAGTTGCGCAGTCCTCTGTCTCAGTCCTGAGCTTTGGAGAGACTACAACTGTGAGCCTGTGCCTTGTGCTGGAGAGCATGGATCGTGGACAGGGAAGTAGCCTGTCCAGCGAGAACACAGTGCAGGTTCAGAGCTTGGCGCCTTGTCCAGAGACTATGTGCATTTCCCGGAACCTCATACGGGGCACATGTCTGTGAACACACAATTACTGAGATGATAAAATGAGAGAGTAAAACCCCAGAAAGTGAGACCAACATACTGGGCCTGGCATCTGCTCCCCAGACAGGTGAAGAAATACTGTGACCTTTTGGTGGCCTCAGTTCTGATCTTGAGCCCAGTCAAGTTGTAGGTAGGGCAGTGGAGAGCCTGTTGCTGTTAACCATGGTGAGGAGGAGGAGGAAAGAGCCACACTTGAAGGTCTGTCCTCTGGATCCAGAGGTGGGCTGGGTTGGCGATGTGTGTCATTTGTTTGTGTTTTGTTTATTCTCCGTTCTCATACGGCACAGTTGTGAGACTTCACCTGTATCCAGCCTCGGGTCAGAGCTCCCAGAGCATTGCCTGGTGGTCGCTTCAAATTTTTTAAGTTACTTTTAAATGTATTTTAAGTTTATTATTATATTATGTTATATGTAGGAACTTGTACATGCACTGTGTAATTTCAGTGCCTAAAGAAGGCCAGAAAAGGGCTTTGGATCTCCTGGAACTAGAATTATAGATGTGAGCCACCATGTTGGAACCAAACCTGGGTCCTTTGCAAGAGCAGCAAGTGCTTTTAACCACTGAGCCATCTCTGCGGCCCCTGTTTTCACATAGTTTTCCTGTGTGTATGTCTGTGTATGTGTGCCTGATGCCCACAAAGGACACAGGAGGATTGACCTACAGATGGTTGTGGGTTGCCATGGGTTGCTGGGATTGAACCTACCTGGATCCTGTAGAAGAGCAACCATGTTCCCAACCACTAAGCCATTTCTTCAGCCCCAAGTTATAGCTGGAAACTAAACCTGGGTCCTCTGCAAGAGGAGAAAAAAAAAAAAAAAAACAACAACCAAAAAACACTCTTAAGCCCTGAGCCGTCTCTCCATCCCCTAAATGATATTTTTATTTATTGTGTGTGTGTATTTGTGTGGATGATGGTTTGCCAGGGCTCATGTATACATCAGAGGATAACCTGTGGGAGTGGGTTCTCTCATTCCACCATGTGGGTCCCAGACGTTGAGTTTGAGTGGTCAGGTTTGGAGACTGGCACCTTCCTGCTGGCTTCCTCAGAGTCCCTGCCCAGCACACTTCTCCTTGGAGACCTCATTGTCACCCTGACCCTTGACTCCTGAACTCGCCTGGGCTCCGATCTCTGACCAGTGGCCTCAACAGTTTGAAGGTGCCCTCAGATAGCCAGGAGCCACTTGGATAAAGGTCTTATAGATTGTGGCAACCTCTGAAGCCTCATGGCAGAGCCATTGCCTCCACATTTGGGGGGGTTATGCGTATAGAACATAGCCCCTCCTCCAGGACATAGGGACATTTCTTCCTGAGTTCCTTGTGGGCACCAGAGAGGCAGCAGAACCGGATCTGGGTCCCAAGGGTGTTGCCAGCATGAGCGTAGTAGCCTTTATTTATTTATTTTTGGATTTTCAAGTCAGGGTTTCTCTGTGCGGCCCTGACTATTCTGTAGACCAGGCTGGCCTCAAACTCAGAGATCCGCCTGCGTCTGCCTCCTGAGTGCTGGGATTAAAGGTGTGTGCCACCACCGCTTGGCCCAGGGAGATAGTTTCTTAGTTAAGATTCCTTTTCCCTAATAACTCTAGCTTGTGTCAAATTGACAGAAAATTAAAACTGACCAGCATGGCAAGTTTATGGCTCACAGTTGGCCGAGATACAGTCCCTTTGACAGTAGGAGCCCAAGGCAACCGGTCACATTGTGTCCTCAGAAGCAGAGAGTGATAAATCCTGGTGTTTTCCCATGTAACTCAGTCCAGAAACAAACATGTTTGCAGACATGCCCAGAAGTTGGTTTCTATGGTGATTATAAACACCACTGAGATGAAACATGGCAGGATGGAGCACACTCCGCACAGTAGGGAGGAGTTGGCAGGATGGAGCACACTCCCGCACAGCAGGGAGGAGTTCTTGCTGGGTCTTGAATCCAAAAGGGGTGTTTGTTCAGCAGTGGACAAACTTAGCAGGACTATTTGTTGGGAGAGCTGGGTTCCTGGGGGTATGTCTTTGCTTGCTTGCCCTGTGGAGGGCCTGTGTGTAATAGTAGTTTGGGGGCTCGTGCTCCTGGCATCTATCCAGCCTCTACGAAGAGTAAATAACTGCATAGCAGGAGCCAGGCTGTGACAGCCATAGGGGATCCTGGAAGTCCTGTCCTGGGAAAGGCACGCTGAGCATCGCAGCATTGTGCTTTCTTAGTTCATGAAAATATCACAAGCTGCGCCAGGGCCACTATCTGGATTTCTCTGTAGTTGGGGCTAGCCCCAGGTTTAAAGCACGCCTCCTGACTCAGCCTCTTTCCGGGCACCCCCACCTTTCCCACAGCTCCTTCCCCGAGCCTTTGCTTCTATTTCTGGACCATTGCTTTCTCTTCCTGGAATCGTGTCTTATTTTATGCATGTGGCTGTTTTGCCTCCACGTATGTCTTTGTCTGTGGAGGCCAGAAGAGGGTGTTGTACCTCCTGGAGCTAGAGTTACAGACATTGTGAGACACTGCATGTATGCACGTGATTTACCCCGGGTCCCCGGGAGGGCAGCCAGTGATCCGACATGGAATCGTTATGTGTAGAGCCCATACACTGAGGACATTCAGTGTTCTTCCTTTTTGTGCCTGAATGGTATTCCGTAAGTGAATAGACCATATCCTGATTGTTCACCCATTGGTCACTGAACGCGATGTGCGTGGCACTTGGCTGTTGTGAACATTGGTGTGCTTGCTCTGTGGGAGCTTCCAAAGGCTCAGACATCCCAGGACGTGTTTACTCCTGTCTCTCCTCTGAGAGGGAATAGCGGTAGCTGCTGCTTCGGGAGCTCAGGAGACCCTGGTAGGTGTTTGTTGAATGAGCTCGGTACTCTAATATGTCAAACCGTGAACACGGAGTCCAAGGTGCACCAGAGAGGTGTGAACTGTGCCCTTCATGGGGTACGCACCTACTAGGAAGCAGAGCACTGCTCTGGGAGACTCCTGGTCACCCTGCCTATTGGTGACAGCACAGTGAGGGCTGCCTGTGAGGGAAGGAACATAACGGAACTCCTGGGGGACTGTAGGACCTTGAGGAAGGAAAGGAGATAAAATTGGTGCACGTGGGAATCTTACACATCCATCCTCCTTACCTGCAGGCAG